ACTGGAATACAAATGGACTTTGGGTGCCCCTCCTACAATGAGCAATGCTCTCTCAGCCTGGACTCTTGGGGAAGGGCCAAGTACCTACCCTGAATGAAATGACAGACTCTGGAGATCCCTCATAGAGAGTCTTACGCTCCCTAGAGAATGGAATGGGGATTGGGTAGTGGGCAGGGAGCGGTTCTTATGGGGGATAGAAAGCTGGGATTGACATGTGAAGCAAGCTTGTTGTTAATATAATTTAAAAACCACTCAGAAACAGATAAAACAATAAAGAACACAGTGAAAACATCAAACCTAAAAATAATAGATATAGAAGAAGGTGAAGAAACCCACCTTAAAGGGGCAGAAAACATATTCAACAAAATAATAGGAGAAAACTTTCCCAACATAAGACATGCCAATGAAGGTACAAGAAGTTTACAGAACACCAAATAGAGTGGACCACATAATGATCAAAACCAAAACATACAAAATAAAGAAAGAATATTAAAAGCAGCTAAGGAAAAAGGTCAAGTAACATATAAAGGTGATTCTATCAGAATTATACCTGACTTCTCCATGGAAACTCTGAAAGCCAGAAAGTCCTAGATAGATATTCTACGAACACGAAGAGACCATAGATGCCAGTCCAGATTACTATAACAAGCAAAGCTTCCAATCACAGTAAATGGAGAAAACAAGATATTACTAAACAAAACCAGATTTAAAACAATACACATCCACTAATCCAGCACTACACAAAGTTCTGGAAGGAAAACTCGAACCCATGAAAGTTAACTACAGCCAGAAATGCATAGGTAATACATAATCCCACTTTACCAACAGCCAAAAGAAAAAAGTGGTGGGAATCCACACACAATGCGGCTACAACCAACATATTCAATACAAACATGAATGAGCAATCAATGGTCATTGATATACCTCAATATTAATGTTCTTAACTTGTACATTGAAAAACACAGGCTAACAGAATGGATTCCAACACAGAACCCATCCTTCTGATGCATACAAGAAACACACCTCAGCATCAAAGACAGACATATATCTCAGAGTTAATGGTTGGGAAGAGATGAAGGAGGTTATAGCATACTCATCCCAGGAGAAAAACACAAAGATGAAGTCTCAATTCTGAACATTTATGCCCCCAATACAAAGGTATCCATGTTAATAAAAAACATTAATAAACATTAATTAAATTCAACTCACACATAAACCATCACACACTTATAGTGGGATAATTCAACAACACGCTCTCACCACTAGACAGGACTACCAGACAGAAACAGCAAAGAAACAAAGGAACTCATAGAAGTTATCACCAAAATGGGTTTAACAGACATCTATAGAACATTCCATCCAAACACAAAAGAATATACCTTCTTCTCAGTGCCATATGGAATCTTCTCAAAAATCAACCATGCACTTGGCCACATAGCAAACCTCAACAGGAACAAAAAATTGGAATAACTCCATGTATCTTATCAGACCATCATGCTTTAAAGTTAGAATTGAACCACAACACAAATTGTAGAAAACCTGCAAACTCATGGAAGTTGAATAATGCTCAGTTGCACCATTCCTGGGTCAGAAAAGAAATAAAAAATGATAATGAAGACTTCCTAAAATTCAATGAGAATGAAGACACAACATACCCCAGCTTATGGGACTTGAATATGGTGATAAGAAAAAAGTTCATAGCACTAAATGCCCACATGAAGAAACTGGCAAGTCATACTAGTGCATGAACAGCACAATTGAAAGCTATAGAACAAAAAGAGGAGTAGATGCCAGGAAATAATCAAATTGAGGAGTGAAATCAATAAAATGTAAACTAGGGAAACAATACAAAGAATCATTGCAATTAAGAGTTGGTTCTTCGAGAAAACCAATAAGAATGACAAACCTGTATCTAAACTTACAAAATGGCAGAATGTGAACATGGAAATTAATAATTTCAACAATGAAAAGGAGGACATAACAATTAACACTGAGGAAATCCAGAAAATAATCAGGTCATATATTGAAAACCTGTACTCCACAAAATTCAAAAATTTAAAGGAAATGAACAATTTTCTGAATAGATATCACTTTCCAAAATTAAATCAAGAACAGATAAACAATTTAAATAGACCTATAACCCTAATGAAATAGAAAAAGTCATCCAAAGTATCTCTTACCCAAAAAAAAGCCCAGAACCACATGTCTTCATTGCACAGTTCTACCAGAAATCCCAGTTAATCCCAACTCTCCTCAAAATATTCCATGAAATAGAAGCATACGAGTCATTGCCAAACTCTTTTCTGAGGCTTAAATAACCTTGATACATTCAAAGACACAACAGACCAATATCCCTCATGATCTCTGATGCAAAATACTCAATAAAACTGGCAAATGGAATCCATGAACAGAAAAATCAGATAAATCATCCACCATGATCAAGTAGTCTTCATCCCAGGGATGAAGGGATGGTTCAACATATGAAAATTCATCTATGTAATCCACCACATACACAAGCTAAGAAACAAAAATCACATGATAATCTCACTAGATGCTGAAAAAGCCTTTGAAAAATCCAGCACCCCCTCATGATAAAGGTCTTGGAGAGATCAGAGATGACAGGAACATACCAAAACATAATGAAGACAATATATGGCAAATCAACAGCCAACATCAAAGTAAATGTAGAGAAACTCAATATTATTCCTCTCTAATCTGTAACAAGACAAGGCTATCCACTCTTTGTATACCTCTTCAGTATTGTATTTGACTTTCTACCTAGAACAATAAGACAACAAAAGGAGATCAAGGGGATACAAATTGGAAAAGAAGACGTGACACTTTCACGATTTGTAGATGATATGATAGTATATATAAATGACCCAAAAAGCTCTACCAGAAAATTCCCACAGATGAAGAACACCTTCAGGAGAGTGGCAGAATACAAGACCAACTCACAAAAAAATAAGTATTCCTACTATGTACAGATGATAAAAGGGCTAAGAAAGAAATCAGAGAAATGTCTCCCTTTATAATAGCCACAAGCAACATAAAAAAACCTTAGGGGTAATGCAAACCAAACAAGTGGAAGACCTGTACAGTTAGAAATTTGAGTCTTTAAAGAAAGAAATTAAAGGAGATACCAGAAAATGGAAAGATCTACCATGTTTTGGATAGGTAGGATCAGCATAGTAAACATGACAATCTTGCACAAAGCAATCTGCAGATTCAATGCAATCCCCATCAAAATCCAAAGACAATACTTCACAGACCTTGAAATAACAATACTTAAATATATATGGAAAACAAAGGACCCAGGATAGCCAAAACAACCCTATTCAAGAAAGCAACTTCTGGAGGCATCAGTATCTCTAACTTTAAACTCTACTATAGAGCTATAGTCCTGAAAACAGCTTGGTATTGACACAAAAATAATCAGGTAGACCAATGAAATCAAATTGAACATGCTGATATTAACCCATACACATATGAACACCTGATCTTTGACAAAGATGATAAAATTATACAATGGAAAAAAGAAAGAATCTTCGACAAATGGTGCTGACATAACTGGGTGCTGGCATATGGAAGACTGCAGATAGATTCATGTCTATCACCATGCACAAAACTTAAGTCCAAAAGTATCAAATATCTTAACATAAATCCAGTCACACTGAACCTCTTAGAGACAAAGTGAGGGGTACCCTTGAATGAATTGGTGTACGAGTGTGCTTCTTGGACATAATACCAGTTGCACAGACACTGAAGTCAACAATTAATAAATGGGACCTCCTAAAACTGAGAAGCTACTCTAAGGCAAAAGACACAGTTAACAAAACAAAAATGCAGCCCACAGAATGGGAAAATATATTCACTGTCCCTACATATGACAGAGGACTGATCTCCAAAATTTACAAAGAATTCAAGAAGGAAGTCCACTACCAAAGGATCCAATAAAAAAGTGGGAGTACAGAACTAAATAGAGAATTCTCAATAGAGGAGTCTAAAATGGTTGAGAGACACTTAAAAAACTGCTCAAGTGTTCAACATCCTTAGCCATTAGGGAAATTCAAATCAAAAGAATTCTGAGATAACATCTAACTCCTGTGAGAATGGCTAAAATAAAAAATATCAATGACTGTTTATTTGGGAGAGGATGTGAAGAAAGGGGAACACTCCTCCACTGCTGATGGGAATGCCAACTCATAGAGCAACTATAGAGATCAGTATGCATAATTCTCAGGAAAATGGGAATTAGTCTACCACAAGGTTCAGCAATTCCACTCTTAGGTATATACACAAAGATGATACAACAAGTATTTCTGTTCCACTATATTCATAGCAGCATTATTTGTAATAGCCAGCCAGAACCTGGAATCAACCTAAATTTCCCCTCTACTGAAGAGTAGATAGAGAAAAAATGTGGTACATTTACACAAGGGAGTACTACTGAGCAAAAAAATAATGTAATCTTGAATTTGCAGGCAAATGGATGGCACTAGAAGAAACCATCCTGAGGTAACCCACTTGCAAAAAGACAAACGTGGTATGTTCTCACTCATGTATGTATTTTAGACATAGATCGGGGAGTGCCATCCTACAATCTGGTTGAGTATGTGAAGAGCGGCATCACACATTCATCCAAAAATGACAAAGATTATCAAGTTTCAAAGTCATTCCTCCATTGGTGGACTACAGCCCCTGGATCTGGGAGTGAAAATGAATCCTCCCTCTCTTAAGTCCTGGCTATCAAGTACTATATGACAGCAATAAGAAGTATACTAACATGAATTCTCACAGGCTTGTTTCTCACTTTGCTTTGATCATTTTCAATCCTTCACTGAGTTCCAGAAATACCTAACATTTCCTCACTTGCACAAATGTAAAAAGTGTGCATAAAAAGTTTACAAATATCTGCGGTCACAGCACCCCCAAAGGAATCCTTGTGTAATACATGAAGATTTCTATATATTTCCTCCTCCTTTTAAAAGTCACAAATGCTAAACTATTTTATTACATGTTACATATATTTGTTTCCTTTTCATTTTCACATGGTTATATATTTCAGTGGAACCATTTATTCCATTTAAGCTGATTCTTATCAAGTGCAAATACTCTTGTTTATACACCATTGCCACACAATTTTAGTAATTTATATAAAAAACTCTATTTAAAAGTAAAATGTATATGAAATGGCTGTCTTTGAGTCTATTTCTCATGTTACACAGATGTAATATTGCTTTTCTTTAAATTTTGAATAGTAAATTTCACATGAGATGTGTTCTTAAAAACATATGTCTATCTCCTGTATTTAACTCTGTTTTATAACATAATAAATGTAAGAAACCACTAAGACAGGCTCAGAATCCTCTTCAGTTTTCCCTTTAATCACAGCAGTGAGAGAGCCCAGGGTGATTTCAGTGGCAGTGTATGTGATTTTGTGTTTCTTTTTGTGTTGTGTGTGTGCATGTATAAACAACAAATACTATTTAAAAATAGACCATAATATTGAGAGGAAGTGAGGGTAGGACAGTGAGGGAGCTGAAGATAGGAAGGGTGTAGAAGAAATAATAAAAATATAACACTCACATGCAAAATTCAAGAAAACGTAAATACTAAGTTTGGAAAACAAATCTGGAAAAAAATTTTACCTATGCCCATAATTTGAAGTATTTTCGAAGTTTTGGATTTTACATGAAAGTCTTTGGCATTTGTAAATCAAATCTTTCGTCTTCACCAACACTACTTCTTTTTCTTGTTTGCAAATCTGATCATACTCTCTACAAGTCTTTTGTATCAGATAATGTTTTAAATTCAAAAACTTCTATGATATTGCCTTGCCTATATATACTAATTTCCTATCTAATTTGTATGATTTCTGAAAAATATTTAAAGGGCTCAATCCTCTTGTGGCCCAAAACTGCATATCTTTTTTGAGATACTGCCATAAGGAGCACATTTCTGTAAGTGTACTGTTTTGTTTTATGCCATCTATGGCTGAGAAGAATTATAGTTCTTCTATGTCTCTATCACCCTGTGTGTTTTGCATCCTAGTATTGATTTTTTTCTTGAATAACTGCTCCATTATATTCTTTTGCATCATTAAAATTTGATAGGGGTAATGGATTCTAGTATCTTCAACTAATATTTAAAATAAATGTTGATTGAGTTTAAACACAGATAAAAGGGTCATATAATATGGTAAGAAAAGGTAGACATGAGAAACAAAAGATACAAATAAAGTGTCATATTGGCTTGCTGGGGTTTTGATCTAGGATCAAAAAATTTCAAATGTGTGAGTTTAGGATATTATTATCAATAACACAGAAAAAGACAGTTATAGAAAAGAATACAGACACTTTGAGGATGCTTGACAAACAAAGCTAGATGACTTTCTTACTAGGTTCTTAGGCTTATCAATGAACTAATTGATAAGCATACTCAAAAGATTACTAAAGAAAAGTTTATTTGTAAAGTAAAATCAGTTGAGATCTGAATATCAAAAAAACAGAGAGAGTAATCTTGTGGGGACCAAATTAGGTCAGGAAGAATGGTTTTGTTTATAGGTCAGCTAATGTTAATGGTTGTCTATTGTCGTGTGGTTTATTGGTCTCCTTTGTTTGTTTTTGTGATGTAGGTCTCGAGATTATATTGAGGTGCAATAAATTGAAATCATATATAGCTATTTGAGTCTAGCATAGTTAGGGTCACTGTCTTGTAATAATAAATTTTTATCATTAAGTTTTACTGGTGGAACTTGATATGCTGCTCATTGGATGTAGGTTTTAAGGGAGTACACATTGCTCAAGGGATTTGTTATGGGCAAATAACAGAGTGTATCACAGAAGGGTGAGTACATTTGTTTTCTGCTTGAATGAGAGTGATAAGTGATTTGTCTCATTATGTGGTTCTAAGAAAGAATAGACATTATATCAATCCTTAATCTGACTTTAGTGACCCCTTTTCAAAATGATTATACATCTTTGGCAATATAATTGAAAGTGTGGTACATTAAGGAATCTCAAGGAAAATCCTTTAGTTTTTCAATTAATAAAAAACAATTAAATATAAAGGATGGGTAATTATTCTGACAATGTTTAGAATCTACAGAGAGATTTATAACATGGCAAAAAGAATATTTTGTGTTTAAAGACAGTGTAAATTCATCTCGAGAAATATTTTTGGACAAGTGATTCTTTTCTTATGCAATTTGAGTAAACTCAATAACTCCTTTCCAGACAGTAATAAGAACATTCACATGCATGTAGTTATAAGTGATGCTTTCCTGCACTGCAGGCAGGCTGACAAATATATATGGATGACTTTTGTGTTATCTTTTATTTGTAAATAAACAACTACTCATACCAGATAGAGAAACAGAGCAAACCCTAAGTAACTCCACCAAACTTCAAATTTGTAAACCAATGTGTTTATCATGATTACTTACTTACAGGAGCAAAGAAGACTCAAAGGCAGCTGCAGCACCCAAATCATCCATTCACACCACTGGTGACAACTCACAGCAATTGCATGCCTGTTCTTGATGCATGAAGTCAAATGGCTTCACAAATCACAAAATCACTTCCTGTCTCCTAGGATAGTCAGAGAGTTTCTTCCGCCAAACAGTTAACACTTCTATAACATGGTAAACAAACGTGTTTTTTAAACTCACGATAGCTTATAAGATTATTAGACACACTCCTTAGACTCAGGAGGCTTCCTCCTTTCATCTAATGTTCCTCTTCAAGAGAAACAACAAAAAAACAAACATACAAATATCAAACTCTCCAGTGTCTGTCCAATAATACAGTCAACCTGAGTGGCTACTACTTCTCTTTTAGAAAGAAAAGTTATCATATGAATTTCCTTCAGGTTTGTCTTTGTTTTAAGCATTTAATACTTCTTTAAGAATTGCATCTACTAGGCACTAGGACAATTGGGCTGAGTTTCTTGCCTATTCTTTCTAAATACTAGAAATATTAGCATATGTCAGTTCACCTTGACTGTTCACATGCTTCCACTCTTTAAGTTGTGTTATTGTTGTAATTGTTATTTTTGTTTGTAATTAAGTTGTATCAGGAGTTGTCAAATGATAAGGAATTTAATCTTACCTTTAAAAAATGGCCAATCCTTTTATATAGTTATAATTCCCAAACAAGAACAGCTTTAGCATGGCAGACAGAAATTTGTACCTTGACATCATATGTTATTCTCATATAATCTAATTTTCTGATCTTAATTCACAGCATCCTTATTCTGAAAGTTTATTTAGTTAGGGTAAAAATGAGTATTTACAAGTTTCTTGACTATGTCAAAAATCACAAAACTTGCTTGGACATTGTGAGGCACTATATCCCTGACAGATACTTTGAAGTGATAAACAAAATGAACATATTAAGGAAAGATTTTGCTGCAACCTCTTCATAGCACACTTGACATCATTGTTCCTCAAGCTATAGATCAATGGATTCAGTGTTGGAGATAACACAGTGTATAGCACGGAAAAAAGCTTGTCTGTGATTGACGGCACACGTGATGGTGGTTTCAGATAGACAAAGCAAGCAGTACCCATGAAAATAGTGAAAACAGTGAGGTGGGGGATACATGTGGCAAAAGCTTTGGACTGACCTTTTGCTGTAGGAATTTTAAACACAGTGGAGAAAATGTAAAAGTAAGAGATCACCACACAGATGAAGCAAATCATGCCTAGACACAGACCAATTCCAAGACTTGTATTAATGAGCACGAGTGTTTCAGAGCAGGAAATCCTTAGCAATGAGGGGACATCACAGAAAAACTGTGGGATCATATTTGAGCCACAGAATGACATGGAAAATGTGCCAGCTGTATTTATGGCTGCAAAGACTACTCCAGTAGCCCAGGAAATACCCACCATAAGCACACAGGTACCGCCATTCATGATGGCATCATAGTACAGGGGACTGCAAATGGCAACATAGCGGTCATAGGACATGACAGTCAGTATAAATACTTCCCCTCCTGTGAAAGTACTCAATAAAAATACCTGAACTGCACAACCAAGAATTGAAATGAAATTGTTGTGTATTAGGCTATTGAAAACAAAATTTGGGATGGTAACTGAGACAAAGAAGACATCTAATAAGGACAGATTCTTCAGGAAGAAATACATGGGTGTTTGAAGCTGCAGATCAAGGGTGGTAAGGATGATGATCATCAGGTTACTTATTAGTGTTGCCATGTACATCATTAGGAAGAGCACTCCACAGAAAGTCTGTAGCTCTTGGATGTCAGAGATCCCCATGAAGATGAATCCACTTATTGCAGTGATATTGGTCATTCTTGATTTTTTCTGGCCCTGTCACTAGGAAAGAAAAAATGAATAATACTCCCACTACTGTAAGTAATAACTTCGACATACAATTATTTTCAGAGGAAAAGAATTCAAGAAACTACACATACGGCACAGATATATTCAGTAAATTCTTTTTCCTCTCCCCTTCTCTCATATTGTTTTCTTGCTCTCTTCCTCCTGTATATTTATCTCTCTGTATCTCTCTCTCTCTCCCTCTTCCTCTCTCCCTCTCTTTCTTTGTCTCTCTCTCTCTTTGTGTGTATATATGTGTGTGTGTGTGTGTGTGTGTGTGTGTGTTTATCTCTGTCTTTCTCACCTCACTCACTCTATTCTTTCTGACTTCTTCACTTTTCTGTCCCATCTCCTTTTTGTCTCTCTCTCCTTCTCTCTCTACTCAGGGTTGGATTGTCCAAGAGGCTTTATATTTTCAAACTAAGTTTTCCATGATTGAGGTATAGCAACTTAAGTCTTCTTTGCAGCATAAACAATTTTTAATATACATTAGTCTCATCATTTTAAGACTATGGTCATAATTAGTATAGGAAAAATTTTCATTGATATAGGAAGGCCTTCTTTCCATTTAGTATTTATAAATTATCTCTACATGATAATTACACATGTATCAAAATATATTATGTCATATAATGTATAGTTAACATGAACCAACATGCATAAACAAAAAATGCAGAAAATACATAACAATATGTAATGGTTTTGTTTAATCCTATAGAGTGAAATTTGCATTTGTATTAAATGGCTATGAGTTTGCACAACAAAATTTTGACTAATTTAATGAATACTGTTGTCAACTCTTTCCCACAAGTTTTTATCAAGTAATCTTAAGAGAATGGTAACCCACATTTAGATACTACTATGCCTAAAACCATTGCAAATGTCCAAAGGAAAGGTAAAGGTATGATGAAAGCTTGACATAATTCCCATAATTTGTATCACACATGATTCTCTTAAACTGTCTGAGAAATTGTTACTCAACTCTGGTGACAAGCATTGCATATACCTCTAGACAATAATGCTGTCCCTTAAGAACTGAGGAAAGGATTGATTAACTAAGAAATTTCCAATTTATTAACAGCTATTTTTTACATCATCTACAAAGGACCATAAGAAGTCATTATTCCTGTCACTAAACACTTCTTGAAAAATGGAAGATTAGAGGCAGATGACTCACTGATTAGAAAGATAGGTCCCATACAAAGGAGTAATAATTAAACTGGGAAGAGATATCAAATCTTTCAAATAAAACATACTATATATATACATATGCATATGCATATACATATACATGTATATAGTAAAGATTACTCATCCTGAAATTTTCCTTTATATTAAACAGGGATTGGCTCTCTAAGCAGAGTCAACTGTAATTATCTGGACACTATGTGATAAGACTGAGATAAGATTCAACGAGAACACAGTCTGACCCAGGAGTTATTACTCACATTCCCTGTTTATCGTGGAGTTCTTGTCACTAATTCAGAAAACAAGGTTATCCAATACAGTAATGTTTGCTCAATTTCTTTCTAAACTTTCACTAATTTGTTTGATTTTTTTGTGCAGATCAGATATTCCTAATGTGCTGTAAATTTCAAAAGCCAGGATCTCTATAGCATTGGAGTGATGACCAAGGGAATCAGGATTGGGATGGAAAGGTCCACAGGGGCTGCTGACCTAAACAAAGGGCATCATATGGACTTCACTCTGATGATTGGGGGGCCAGCATGGGACTGATCCAGACATCCTCCCACTGAACCTGGGTGACAGAGAGGAGGCCTTGGCAATCTGTGGGACCTTGGAAAGGGGAGCTGTGTTTATTCCTGGCATACAGATGGACTCTGGGAGCCCATGCCACGTAGAGGGATGCTCTCTCAGCCTGGGCACATAGGGAAGAACGTGGGCCATTCCCGGAATGATGTGATAGACTCTGGAAATCCCCCATGGAGGCACTTGCCCTCCCAGGGTTGTGGAGGGGGGATGGAGTGTGGGTGAGGGGTTGGGAGGATTGGGGCGAGGGGGAGGAGAGAAGGGAGAGGGAACTGAAAGTGACATACATAAAAAGTTAAATAAAAAATGAGGAAACAACAAAAGAAACTCCAACCAAATACCCCTCATTTCCTTGACTATTTTTCTTTATATTGTCATATTGTTTAGAATTCACTTTTGAATATTATCTGGTATATCCTGAGGCAAGTCAGGTGCTCCACATTCAAATTTTATTAGTTGGTTACCAGGTAAAAATTGTTTTATTACTCCATTCTTTATTGAATTACCAGTAGAAAAATCTCTGTCTCTGTCTCTGTCTCTGTCACTCTCCCCCCCCCTCTGTGTATTTGCAAATGTGTTTGTACTTGTCTATTTCCACACTAAATAATCAAGACTAATACAGAGTATATGGGGGAAGTTGATTTTTGCTCTGATGATTCAAAGCCAGTCATTTATGAGCATATATATCTATTTTACTAAACAACAAAAGTCTTCATTCTTAGGTTAGCATGCTTTACTAAAATAAAAAAAATCATGATTTCTTCTTTAGTCAGTTGGCTGCTTAAATTTAGGGGCTTTCCACCAATATGCTTGGGACAAGTAAACAGGATAAATTCCCCTAGAAATGGCATCTAGGAGAGCATATCTCTAGTGTAACATGAGATAAACCCTACTTAGAATATTTACAGAAAACCTGTGTGTGTACTCTGGAAAACTGAGTGATAGAGGGCTGAGATTCTCGAGACTTGCCAGGCTATTATAATCTTCAAGCTTGAGAAATATAGAAATAAGGCAAATATGAGGTATGTAAGTCAATAAATCACGACTAAATTACAATGTTTTAATACATTTTCCAGTATCCTCTATATGTATAATGTTGTAAATTTATTTTAAAAATCATATTTTAACATTGTACCTATAGAAATTTCAAATCTGTACCTTAAAAAATGCAGATTCTTCACAGTCCTAGAAAATACTTACTCTTCAGATTTTCCACTAGGTAGAATAAAATAGGGAATTTGTTTTACATCTGAAAGAGCTCAGTTTAAAATTGGATTACCTGAAAGAAAAATAGGTCATACAATTTTCTTTGTTAAATTTCAAATCATATTATATTCTTTTATCTTAAAGGCTATTTTACATCTCAGTATCCTGAGTTAAACTGTTTTCATTTCTTATCCTGAGAAAGTAAATATGAGCAACACAGAAAATATTTTACCTTCTTATGAACCTTGATGTGCATTCATTTGAAGCCATATATAGTTAACTTATTCCTAACAGACCTCTCACAGTCACTTGGCTACTCTCTGGAATTCCCAAAAGGCAAATCTTTCTGGATAGCCTTATTAAGAACCCATGTCTTAAGAAACAATTACTGTTATAATAATTGCTGTTTCCTCAAAATGACATTTATCAAGTCCAAGAAAATACACTAAAATATGTCAGTAAATACATGGTCATATTTTCCTCAAAATTAAGTTACTCATGTATTTGCTTAGCTGCACATTGCATCTAGTTGGAGGCAATGCTAGAGTTGTAAAAATGAAGTTATTCATTAGTGATGGCAGGGAATCACTAAATGAAAATAACAAATAAATCTGTATTTCATGGATATCAGAGAATCCCAGAAAGATGAATCTGGTCATGAAATGCCACTGGCATATTCAATTCATAATGCAGGAGACTGAATCTCCCTATATATTTCCAATATCCTAAATAATAACTTTGATATACAGAAATTCTCAGTAGAAAATATGTCAACTACCTAAAATATAAAATATGATACATTTTGTATAAAATTGCATTTCTTTCTGATTACCTATCATACCATTTCCCTCTAACTCTTTAATCAATAGGTTTTCTGAATCTTTCTCTTTTCCTATTTTCTTCTCCCTTGGTTATTCCATTCTAACTTTCATCCCTTCTTATTGTCTCTCTCTTTTTGTCCTTACCTCTTCCCCTCTCCATTTCCCTTTCCCTTACTCTTTATATCTCTCTATCCTGGCCTAAAATTAGCCTTAAGTTTCTGTACAAAATATGTAGATTTTCTAAAATTGAGTTATAAACTTTAATACTATTTCAAAATCAAGTCTGACTACCCTGAACAATGTGTGCAATAATAATTCTTATTTCATTATTAGTACATACTGATAATAAGTTTAGGAAGAATTTTTATGGTTTTAGTTTAGGTTTATTTCAATTTATATACTAATGGATTATTCTCTTATGAATACTGAGTATACTTAACTTTAAAAGATTAGAAATAATTCTGAAGGTTTGCACTGAAATAGCACTTTAAAATAACCATTACTAATTTAATCATGTATCAAATGATTATATTGACCCCATACCTTGTTCAATTACTATGCATCATTATGCAGAAATAAATAAATGAAATGAAGAAAAATAAATTGCAAAAAATTATAAAAACAAAGTGTAAGAATATCCTTTAATCATGTAGCCTAAACTTTGACTTTGTATAAGATGGCTGTAAATCTGGGCAGCCGTAGATGCTCCTATTAACTCTTAACAGATTTTATCAAGAAAATTTTAAGAACTGCATAACAAAGATTTAATGCTCCTTTACTTAAAAGGAGGCAGCATCACAGAAAAACTGTCAGATAACTTTGGAGCAACAGAATGGCATGGAAATGTGCCAACTGTATATATGGCTCCAAGGAGGACCCCAGTAATCCAGAAAACACCCACTATCACTACACACTCATGATGGCATCTTATTGCTGGGAAAAAAGAAGGCAAAATAGCCATCAAAAATATGGCAGTTAGGAGAAATACATTTTCTTCATTTCATTTATTTGTTTCTGCATAATGATGCATAGTATATATGCCTAAGAGTAGAATTGCTGGGTCTGGTGGTAGACTAATTCCCATTTTCCTGAGGAATCTCCATACTGATTTCCAAAGTGGGTTTACGAGTTGACACTCCCCCCCAGCAGTAGAGGAGTGTTCCCCTATCTCCATAT